AAAAAAAAAAAAAAAAAAAAAAAAAAAATAGAAGGAGGCTAAAGGTTGGGTCAACTAACAAAATGGAGAATGGATAGCACATTAGGTGATTTCAAAATCTTAATTAATAAAAGTGAAAAAAAAAGATATCATATATATAATGGGATATTTTATTCTTTTTTTTTTAGTACAAAAGAGGAGGCTAAAGGTCTGGGGAGATTTCACGCCGAGTGCCGTTTTAGGATATCTTAGGCTTCGGCCTCTCTTCTTGTACCAAAAAAGAAAAAAAAAAGGCCTGGGGAGATTTTAAGTTAAGACTCGTCGGGAATAGGAGACCCCGATAACATCATGATCCAACTACAAAACCCACTCACAAATACATAAAAAATATATTAAAATATGGTAAACGAGTTTAGTAAAACGTCGACAGCCCATACAAATATTCAACCAACCAAACCAACAAACCCATAAAAAATTTCTCTTTAATTTTATGAATAAAATGAACATCACATGGATCAGCAGACCCACGTCAAAGTATATATGTATGCATACAATTTTAGAACATTATATGAAAATGGCACAAGTCACCAACCCTAAAGAAACAAAAAAATATTTGTGCCGTTAGCATTAGGTTAGATTTTCCTTCACCATAAATCATGTTTTTTCTTTTTAAAATAAAGCACACATCTAAACTCCACATTGACCTAAACTAAATTTAAATTATTTTGTATATAATGGTTGAAATATGGAGTATTATTTATATCATTATTTATTATTTTCGTTAAACTAGATTATTACAGTAAAACAAATGTTAATTAGGTCGGCCTTATAAGTATTGCACAACGTACTTTTTCAAATTGATTTGTCGTATTTTAATAAAAATACAATATAAATAAAAACATGATATGTATTTTTTTGCTGACAAATGTATGACGGGTGAATCCACCTAGCGATTCAATCCCCTCAAGCGGAAAAATGTGTAACTACTTTTCCAAGGAAGACCACTCGTTCGTACTTTTACAACAACATGTGTTGAAATTGAAATGTTCCACTTACAAAAATACCATAAACGAAAGTGTTAAACGAGTAGTTAAACGATTAGTCGGTTCTCCTGTGGATCCAGAAACCGAAAGGTCCCTGTACCAAAAAAACAAAAAAACGAGTACATGAGAAAGACAACTCTCCCGCCACGGTTAACCTCACTCAAATTCCCCTCCCAAAGACAGACACATTTTACCAGCAAAAGCTTGGAGACGACTAAACAAATCAACCAACAAATATCAACACCCCTTAAATTCCCCCCAAATTTGTCCCCCTATTCGCTGCGAATCTCCCCCATGCAGCTCTCCCTCCGCCGCAAGCTTAACCCCTTTCTCCTCTCCGCCGCCGCGTCATTCTCCATGAAACCCTCCCCAGGCGCCGCCGCAGGCGGCGGCGGCGGCCGGAAAGGCAGCAGCCTCTCGATCTTCGCCGTGGCCGTATCGATATTCGTCTTTGGCTGCTTCATGTACAACGAGGACGTCAAGTCAATCGCGGAGTTCCCCTTCTCGCACCCCACGGCTGCTCAACAGGCGGATCCCGATTTCTTCGCCCAGGAAGAGGGGAAGCGTGAGGTGGACGCGGGGGCGGACAGCAGCAACGCCGCCACTGTCTCGGTGGTCGTGAATTCGCGGACGGTGGTGGAGGCCGAGGTGGAGCAACCCGAAATAGACCGCTCGGCGAGCTCGAAATCGAACCTGGAAATCGAAGATGGGGAAGAAAAGGAGGAGGAAAAAAAGAAGAGAACCGAAATTCGAGGTGGGGAAGACGAAAAGGATGATGATGTTCGTGATGATGATGATAATGGTGAAATTGAAATCCCGCCGGAGGATTGTGATCTGTTCACCGGGGAATGGGTTTTCGATAACGTCACTCACCCGTTGTACAAAGAGAATGAATGCGAATTTTTAACGGAGCAGGTGACCTGTATGAGAAATGGAAGGAAGAATTCACTGTACCAGAACTGGAGGTGGCAGCCCAGAGATTGTTCTCTGCCTAAGTAAGTTTTTGATGCCATGTTAAATTTTTCCTTCAATTTTAAAAAATGTTAGATTGAATCAGTAATTTGAAAAAAATAAAAATAAAAAAATGCATGGGCCTATTTGGAGTGATGCTAAAATCAATGGTAGTTTTTAGCAGTTTTACCTGTTAATTTTGAAAGGTATCTGTCCTGGTTCTTCTTGAAGTATCTTTCTGTAGTTGGCCATTAATGGCTTGCTGATCAACTGACTGGTGAACACTGTGCATATATTTGGCTGTTTTTCAAGGTACATTCCGAGATTGTTGCTCGAAAAACTGAGGAATAAGAGGCTGATGTTTGTCGGGGACTCGTTGAACCGGAATCAGTGGGAGTCGATGATATGTTTGGTTCAGTCGGTAGTCCCTCCCGGAAGGAAGAGCTTGGAGAAGACTGGCTCTTTGTCTGTTTTCAGAATTGAGGTATATATATATATATATATATATATATATATATAATATATATATATATATATATATATATTTGGATTTCGAAACTCGAAAGCATTAATTAAGACTAATGTTATATTTGCTAGCCATTTGTGTTCACTTATTTGGGAATACATTGATGGGGGGACAAATAAGAAAACAAGTGCTTGATCAGGAAAAACAAGAATCAATAGTTTGTGGCATTGTCTGTTATAAGAAATTTGATGTACTCATTATTTTGTTCGACAACGCATCAAGTCAGAGAGTATAAAAGTGGTGGTTATATGACGAATCTGAATCATATAAAGTAATTGCATGTTATATCCAGTGAGATGTCTCGTAAATGAGGTGAGGTATTCGTGTAAAGTATGTTGAAATCAGATGAATTTAAGCGCGAAATGGAATATGAAATTCAAACTGCCTTTTCTCTTCTCCTTTTTAAGCAATGAGTTTTGCTTAGATTAGAAGAATCTAGTACATATATTCACATAATCTATTGGCATGTGAGTATTTAGCATGTTGGTTAAGACTTAGCTGAGAATTTCCAACTAATTGTAATGCAGGATAAAATGACTCTTTTTTTTTCACATCCTTGACTTTTGTGTACCTGAATTTGGCAGGACTATAATGCTACAGTGGAGTTTTACTGGGCCCCTTTTTTGGTAGAGTCCAACTCAGACGACCCGGACATGCACAGCATATTGAACCGTATCATCATGCCCAAGTCCATCAAAAAGCACGGCAAGAACTGGAAGAACGTGGACTACCTCGTTTTCAACACGTACATTTGGTGGATGAATACTTTCTCCATGAAAGTCCTGTGAGTTGCTTTTCTGAAAAATTGTTCTTGGGTTATAATTCTTTTGATGAGTTTAATATTTTGGATCGGTGGATAATTAAACAGGAGAGGCTCATTTGACGAGGGCTCGACTGAGTATGATGAAGTGGCTAGGCCTGTAGCTTATGAACAAGTGTTGTGGACGTGGTCCAAATGGGTCGACAAAAATGTGAACCCGAATCGCACACGAGTCTTCTTCATGAGCATGTCACCCCTTCACATCAAGTACCATAAGCTCCCTTTCTCATGAATATATCATATATAAGACGATTCAATTCTTTCATTCCTTATCGACTTTATTACTTATTTCGGATCATTTCTTCAATTTAACTAGTGAAAACAGGGGAACTAACTATAATTGCATGCGAATGTACTTAGAATTAGCATAAACAAACAAATTTTACATTCTCTTATTAACAAAAATTCTCGATTAGGAGCTCGGATTGGGACAACCCAGACGGGATCAAGTGCGCAAAAGAGACGAGCCCAATACTCGACAAGTCAATGCCGGTCAACGTGGGAACCGACCGGCGGTTGTTTGTGATTGCTGCTAACTTGACAAAGTCGATGAGTCGAGTCCCGGTCGATTTTCTCAACATCACGACACTGTCCGAGTATCGAAAGGATGCCCACACGTCGGTTCATACCATTCGCCAGGGGAAGCTGCTAACGCCCGAGCAGCAGGCGGACCCCACAAACTTCGCCGACTGCATACACTGGTGCCTGCCGGGGCTGCCCGACACGTGGAACGAGTTTCTCTATGCTCGGATTATGTCGCGTTCTTGACAATGAATTCTTTTTTTTTTTTGCTAACTTTTTTCGAGTAAAATTTTGGCTTTCTTTTCTTTTCTTCATTTTTTTGGTGTAGTTGTGGATGATCTGCGGGAAGAGGCTATATTGTTGTGACTTGTGAGATGAGATATGAACAACTGCAAGAAGGAAATGTTAATAATACATAAAAGGGAAATGGTGAAGTTTGTAGTTTGTAGTGTACTTTATTAAGTGTTGATTTCTAGTAGTACAATTTTTGTTTCTCCGTTGTTAGATGAGGGCATCTACGTTAGTATGAACGAGATAGAATGAAATGTGAGTCAAGTGTTGTCTTCCTCGTTCAAACCAATACGAGTCCTCCAGTATAATTAAAAAAAAATATATATATATAATAATAATAATAATAATAATAATAATAATAATAATAATAATAATAATAATAATAATAATAATAATAATAATAATAATAATAATAAAAACTTGAGCTCCACGGTCCACCTCTATCATTTTGATGGCTTAAATGTCTCTTTTTTTTTATTTTCCAAACAATGATATATTATTAATTATATAAAAAATTATTAAAAATACCAACACTTCATAAAGGAGAGTGTAAGTCTTCCTAAGGGGTACATTTGGTTCTACCCAGGGGAGTGGAGGGGAGGAATTTTAATGAAGAAAGTGGAGGAAGGAGAGATAATGTAAAATAATTTTATCTTGGAGGGATTTTGTGTTCATTAAAGTACCACCAACATATGAAGAAGTTTCTTGAAATATCTAGCAATATTAAATATCAACAATTAGTTAGGAAAGTAATAGAAAATAAAGTGCTAGAAGAGAAAGTGCTATATTATTTTAATATTTTTTACTAGTTAATCTACACACACGAAGCTTCTATGGCTAGTATACATATAGGTAGAGTGTGTGTGTGCGCTATGAGTGATCAAAATAAAAAAAGTGAGTGAGTGAGGTGCTTGTGTGTGATGTACGTGAGTGAGAGAAGTTAGTTGATAAAGAGTGAGTTTCCTAGAGTGCCATTGTAAGTTTTTTTTGTTGAAACGATAGAAATTTTATAAAATAAAAAGCACAACTGTGCGAATATACAGCAGCCAACGGCTGAATACCGTGTAGCCAACAGTTGAAAAAAGAGGAAGGACTGGTCAAAAGACCGCCTAAAGCCGACCCCAAAAGGGTAATAAACGAAAAACACAAAAAACTACTTACGACACATAAAACCCCAACAGGGTAATACAACACATAACAACCCCAACAGGTAATACTCGAGTGTAGATCCCAACAGGATAATAAAGGCACACTCGGGTTCACTGAGGCCAACGGCCGAGACCAAAAACACAATTAAACAACACACGAACTAGAAAACAACAACATACCAAAAAGACACAAACTAAACACCAAAAAACACAAAAAAAAAATTGAGCCCTTCCTAAGCTGCAACACCTAACCGAATTAGCGGACACAAGCCAACCACGAATCCCGAAATCATAAGCACCGACCCGAACCTGCCATACCACTCGGTTGCCTAACGGATTCGAAACTTCAACCCCGGAATCAAAGAAGGCGACCTGCACCACGGCCACAACACCCAAATCGAACGACAAAGGAGTGCCACGACCCCAGTCCCGACCCCAAATCGCCAGCCAGCTGCACAAAAAACGACCACACCACCGCTGCAACACCCCTACCAACACCACTGGAAGAAAAGTTGAAACGACGGCACCCGAAAAACGAGGCCAGTGTGATGTCCTTGCGCACACAAGCCACGCCGACGCACAGCGAGCAAATCGCCAAGCAATCGGGTCGAATCCCTCCCCGGAACGGCACAACGACCAGAGTGCCATTGTAAGTTGTGAGTGATATATTTGTAATAATAATAAAATTAATTTGTTGTGTTAATCTTGAGTGTATTGGTCCAATTTATTTTCAGCACGTGGTATCAGAGCAACGTCAGGAGAGTTTAAGCTCGTTCCAATATATTCAGGGCTCATCAGTTGCCGTCAGTCAAGGGGAGATTATTCAGTTCAGAGACATCGTGTGAAATTAAAAAAATTGTGAAGTGTGTGAGGCTTGCTTGGTTATGAGGAGGTAGTCCAAGTCACGATGGCGGATGTACAATCAACAGGCGAAATGGAGAAACTCAATATTTAAAATTATACCACATGGAGGACATGCATGAAGTCGTATCTTCAAGGCCAAGATCTTTGGGAAATTGTTGGTGGAGAAGAGGTCACACCACCTGAAGAAGTTGGGGCCTTACGTAAATGGAAGATAAAAACGGGAAAGGCCATGTATGCACTCAAGACGACAAATGACAAAGAGTTCTTGGAGCACATACGGGAAGCAAACACTCCAAAACAAGTGTGGGACACCCTTGGAGCATTATTTTTCAAAAAGGAATTAATTCAAGCTACAACTTCTCGAGAACGAGCTCCTGTCACTCAAACAAGGAGAGATGACGGTACGCGACTACTTTAACAAGGTACGAACTCTTTGTCGCAAAATCTTTGAATTGAACCCCACTGATAAAGTTTCAGAAGCTAAAATGAGAAGAATTATTATCCATGGGTGTTGACCCGAATTTATTTACGGGGATTATAACCGCTATACAAGGTTGGTCTGAACAGCCTTCTTTGGTAAATTTTGAAAATATACTAGCCGACCAAGAAGCGCTGACCAGACAAATGACTGAGGTCTCATTAAAGAAAGAAGATGAAACTTTATTTAGTTATAAAAAAAATATGAGACAACGTCAACAAAATAAAAGAGACAAAAAAGAAAAATATTGAATCTCGGTTCACGCTCAAACCGATGTTCGAAATTGAAACTCTCGAATCGTCCGAACTGTCCAGATTGATTCGGCTGGTCTGGACCGGTAGCTTAGGCTTTGTTTGGTTCGGAGGAAACGGAGGGGAAGGGAAGGGAGGGGAGGGAAATTTTTAGTTTTCCCTTGTTTGGTTCGATTTTAAGTAAGGGGAGGGATTAAGATTTTCCCTTCAAATCCCTTGGAGGAGGGAAAATACACACCCCTCCAAAAGTGGGGGAATTTGGAGGGGAGGGAAAATTTTTAACATCAAATTACTCTTTTGACCTTATTGTTAATTATTTTATTTTTTTTCCTTATATCATTAAGGATATATTTGTCATTCTAACATTATTTTCCCTCCCCCTCCATCTTCTAACCAAACAAGGTTAATCATTTTCCTTCACCTCCCTCTCTACAAAATCCATCCAAACAAGGTAAATTATTTTTCCTCCCTTTCCCTCTCCTCCCCTCTCTTCCATTAAATTCCCTCCCCTCCCCTCCCCTCCCGTGAACCAAACATAGGCTTAATCTGAACTGACCGGTCGCTCGTCTGATTGGGTGCAAGTCAGTTCAACCGTGGTCCAAGTACATATGCACGGACACGGCTCCATCAACGCACGACTTTTATATTCGCATATAAAGTATTATCTGGACCGCCCGAAAATGCCGAACTAGGGTTTTTTTTACTACCTGTTAAACTTACTCATTTTATTCCGAAACTTTAACCCTATATTCAACATGAATTATCGAATATTTATTCGAGCCCAAGTCAAATGTTCGTTAAGCCCAAGCCCACTACACATCAAACCCTACCCACTCCTATAAATACACTTTACCTTCGTGCACACCTTATCCATTTCCCATCTCCTCTTTCACCACTAAAGAATCCGGCCATCCCTACCCTTTTCCGGCGAATCTCCGGCCGCAAGTTCACGCCGCGGCCACGAGTCCTCCACCGCGCCACCTCCTCGCCGGTTCGCAGCTCACGGCAGCCTCCACCACGCAGCTCCTTCACGCCATCCCCAGCCGCTCTCCACGCCGGCAGCGACGTCGCAGCTCCCAGCCGCCGCCGTTCCCAACTCCGGCGACC